CAAACTTGAGGATTAACCCCTTTAGGTTACACATTGAATATAACAAGTATGCTTTATAGCATATACACACTGATTTTACTGTTGTGGGTTTAGTGACACTAAGTCTGCAGTCCCACCGATGCAAAACTTTAATCTATTGATTAGATGGCAAGACTCTGTTATTATACTGTGATAAGAGACTTAAAGTATAACCAAGATAAAGTGGAGAGGGATTTAAACATCTGTGTTCTTCTTAGGGAAATTTACCCACTCCATTTGCCATGTTTACCATTATCACCAAAATTAAGAGTAAAACCTCAAATTTTCTGTTCTCCCCAGAACAGGAATATGGGCAAATCTTCCAATAGGAGCACTAGTTCTGATATTCCCGGTGACAAATGGGGTTCCCCCAGTTTAGAGGTATTTCATCCCTTGATGTTTTGGCTATGGAACAGAAGGTGAAGGTAAATCTTCTCAATGGGATGCAGTCAGGCAATATTTACTCCCTACTCTACCAAACATGAAAAAATAAGCTTTGCATTTAGTTCTTAATTTAAAACAGATCACAATCATGAACTAGAAATAGGCCTTAATCTTGTGTTGGGAATATTAAAGCAAATTGGGAGAAGCCTTGAACTAAAAGATTACAAGAATAGATTGACCAACAGAGAAAACAGAAAGTTCCAGAAACTTATTGACCTTCTCCTTGAACTTGAAACCTCTGCGTTAGACCCACATCGACTAGGTCTTAGCTACCCAGACACTGCTCATGGTGTGAACCCATTTATAAAACAATTGCCTTTTTTTTTTTTCCAAGAAAAATGGGCAACAGTAGTTTCAAGGTATAAGAAGGAACATCTCGTCTCCCTTTAACCTTTCTTCTTCTGTTCAAAGTTTATCAAAGATTTAGCCAGAGCTAAGAATGATACAAGCTTCTCTACTGTTGACTTGAGCTTTCCAAGCCCTTCAAGAGAAAACCTCACCACTAAATACAGAGACTCTAGAACGATTGTCTCAATTAGAAAGATGAAAGTTACAACCACTACCAGCAGTAACTGCAAAGAAAGGAGGGAAGACCCAAATACCCACTGATTGTGCATTCAGGGGCAAGCCCTATGAAAAGCTTGGAGCTTCTAAGAAACCATGACATTTGCTTCAGATATTGTGCATTCATAGAGTACTCCACCAGAGATTGCAAAGCAACAGTAAATACAAAAAATGGTGTAGCGCTCTTATTAACAAATATAAATATAAAAATAAATATAAATAATGTGTGTAAAATAGTGATCACATCCCTAATGGGATATCCAAGTGAAAAAAACAGTGAATAGGTAATATAAACCGTAATATAAATATGAGATGAATGCGTATAAGCCTTCCAGGTCAAGATTAGCTCCAAATTCCCCTTTTGGCTATATTAAGTATGACCAGCTCCCACAGGATCCAAACAAAGAGAGAACCTGTCATTAGATGTGGTGGCCACATACTTGAGATCTGGTGATGTTATTTCTGGCCCAACGCAGAAAATGCAGAGGAAGAAGCTGGCCACTGATTATGTTAGCTTAAAAAATGGTGGCATGGTTTGACCGGAGGGGGCAGATCCAGCAGGTCAAAGTCAGACTATGGAAACTTCTAGGTTGCATTCAGGGCTCCCCACTGCAGACAGCAAAACTGTCAGATGGCAAGATGTGATCTTGACCTCGAAGGCTTATACGCATTCATCTGATGTGAGGTTTTGTCTACATTGGAGAATACTATTAAGAGGAATCCATTCTTGGAGGGTCCAGGAGTGATCCCAAAAGCTTGTAGGCCCTTTTAGGGTCACGGTAAGGAGGTGAGGAGCCAATTTAGCAGTTTTTGGATTCATCACCAGAGACCACAATGCACAGGATCACCTGCATGTTTTTTACCTTTGTGGAACACTGGTGTCACATTAATTTTATTGGACTTTGTGTTTAGTACAACTCTTATTGCATTTTGATAGGGGATTCATATGTTAATTTTTGATTATTCATTCATCTCATATTTATATTACGGTTTATATCACCTATTCACTGTTTTTTTCACTTGGATATCCCATTAGGAATGTGATCACTATTTTACACATTATGTATATTTATATTTGTTAATAAGAGTGCTACACCATTTTTTGTATTTATCTAGCTTTTTCACTTTTAGGTAATAAGGTGCAGGTGTTAGCTGCCTTAACGAACTACATTCACTTTTAGAGCGCAGGAGGTTTCTATTACATAAAGGCTACAGTAAAGTGTGCAGAATGTGGCAGCAACATGAAGCTTTACATTGAGGCACCTTTAATCAAGACTCTACATTCACCGAAGATCTACACCCACTTCAGACCATGGTGGAGAGAGCCATGAACTATTGTTTCCAATGATCACACCTAAATATAGTAAACTGTCACAAAAGCCTTATAATGAAAATCAGTTCTAAATTATGGCTGGTGAAAGTGTTTCCTCAGGGAAAGCAAGAGCCATGTGTTGGCACAGAAGAAACTAAAAAATAGAATTGCCCCTGCTAGGGAATAAATCATTTTTGACATAGAAGGAACTGAATGAATTGATCTTCCTACATTTATCGAGTTCAATATGAAATTTAATGACAGAGAGGAAATATCTACTTCAAGACAAGTCTACATACCAACATGGAAATATACTGCCAAATTCATACTTCTACTGGGAAAAAGACATCCAAAGAATTCAGAAAATATAATAACAAAGCACAGGTAATCTTCACAACAATCTTTATTCTCAAACGACTGTACTGGGTTGAGTCATTCTCCCTTGCTCCAGTAAGAAACAAAATTTATTACTACGTACACTTGTAAACCTTTTGCTGAAAGAATTCAAGACATCCCCTTCATCTGTCACAACTAGTGCTTTGAAAACACAAAAGAGATACCCAATCTGACAAAGAGACTTGGGTCAGTAAAACTACATCTCAAGCTACAACTTAGGGCAACAGGATTGAACTTTCAATAGCTGTGCTAATGTTCATCAGCTCATGGTTATTAATGACTCCTATTTCAGCAAATACTACTGTTAAAGAGTATGTATATAGCCCTACAGAACATACAGTGCACAATCCACATGTGTTTATCTGCTGCTTCCCTGCAACAGGAAACAGGAACCTTATTATACAGAAAAGACATAGAGTTTAATCATAGATGCACTTACAAACTTAGAAACACTGCCATCTACTGGTTGAAGAATATATTTCTACCAAATACTGATACTAATGTAATTGTACAAAAAATACATGAATATTGTATTCCAATAACTACAGACTTGCTCATAGTGAATCAGCTGCAATCTTAGGCTAGTCCAGGCAACTGAAATACAATAATATCTTTTTACATCCCAGCGAGAGCCCTCCAAAATATTGATTCCTCATTACTGCAAATGACTTTTCCTAAGTTGCAACCCAGCTGCAGATTTATCTACCAAGATCCAAGCTGATATGACTGACAGCTCATGCAGCACCCCAGAAATCTTGCTAGCAGTTAGCAATTTAAAGTGGAACGTCACTCTCTCAATCAACATTGGCTATTTTAAATCCTTATACTGCTAGCATTAGTAAATAGATAGGAAAGTATATCATATTTTTTTACTTTTTTTTTTTTTTTACATTTCTTCAGCTACTTCCTGGTTTCTATGCCTAGGCAAATTATGTCATACATCCCAGGGGTCTTCAGGAGGAGAGGAGGGATTTTTCTCTTCTGCCTGCATGCCTAAGCTAAGGGCAGATGGATATGCCCTTACTTAAGATGGCCACAACCAGGAATGCTAGGGAGGTGTTTTTTAAAGTGATTTCTCAGCAAAATAAAATATGGAGACAATGATGGATGGGAACATTTACTTTGAATATTAAAAATGAATTGAATAGTTTTTGGTTCGTGGTGCTTAGATGCAGTTCCCCTTTAAGAAATTCATCCCAGTCTTCTACCCCAGTCTTCAAACAAGAATATTCTCCACTTCACATGTTGAAAGGAGAGCTTCCTGAAGAAAAGGTCATAGAGAACTCCTTCAGATCAACAAGAGAGACCTTTCCTATTTCTACCTGTAAGTGGTTGCATCTGCGTTGCCTCTAATGGGGAAAGTGATTTGATGCCTTCAAGGCCTGTTTAATGTATGAACACTGCAACTTTAAAAAATCATATCAGATTTCATCTGTTTTTTTTTCACTTGTGTATATATGTTTGCTTGCTTTTTCCTTCTTTCTATGTCCTCCAGGTCCAGAGGACAAAACATCCATGTTTTATGGACTTGCATTGTTTTCTAGTGAATTCTTAAAGGAGACGTTCACCTTTTTGGGCAGAATTTCACCTTTCATAATATATAGAAGCATTTTCCAATGCCATTTATGGCCCAGCCACCCCAATGTGCTTTTCTTTCAGTTACCTCATCCACAAGACATTTATTTTCTTGTCAGTTTATGTGAGATTTTGAACGGATTTTCAGATTGCGTCATTTCATCTCAATGGTCTCTCAGCAATCACTTCCTGTAGGCCACTTCCCAGAAGCCTTCAATTCCTTGTTGCCAGGGGCAGACTGACCATTCAAGCACTCGGGCACTGCCTGAGGGCCCAGAGTCAGTAGGGGGCCCCATGAAATGCCCCTGGTACCTTTTTATAGGCTTTTTTGGGTGTGCTTTGAGTGTGGGCAAGGACACAGGGGCCCCATGATCCCCTATTGCCCGGGGGCCCCATGAGTTGTCAGTCCGCCCCTGCTTGTTGCATCACAGAAGAGGGTGTGATAGGGTGTGTTCACCACTCTGGACCACACCTACCTCATTACAATACTACCTTTCTCCCATCAGTTAAGTAGTACAAGGGCCTGTCTGGTTTGGTACAAATTGAATGGATTGATCAAGTGTGTCCTCCTATTCCATAGTTCTGGTAAATCTAAAGGAAATTGTACAGAAATTGCATAGTGTATGGCCATCTTTATATACCGTATTTTTTGCTCTATAAGACGCACCTGACCATAAGATGCACCTAGGTTTTAGAGGCTGAAAACAGGAAAAAAAAATATTCTGAACTAATGGACTGCAGACATAGTACAGGAGATGACCAGAGACTGCAGACATAGAATATGAGATAACCAGAGACTACAGACATAGAATAGGAGATAACCAGAGACTGCGGACACAGTACAGAAGGTGACCAGAGACTGCGGACACAGGACGGGATGACCAGAGACTGCGGACACAGGACAGGGGATGACCAGAGACTGCGGACACAGTACAGGAGATGACCAGAGACTGCAGACACAGTACAGGAGATGACCAGAGACTGCAGACACAGTACAGGAGATGACCAGAGACTGTGGACATAGTACAGGAGATGACCAGAGACTGCGGACATAGTACAGGAGATGACCATAGACTGCGGACATAGTACAGGGAATGACCAGAGACTGCGGACACAGGACAGGGGATGACCAGAGACTGCGGACACAGTACAGGAGATGACCAGAGACTGCGGACACAGTACAGGAGATGACCAGAGACTGCGGACATAGTACAGGAGATGACCAGAGACTGTGGACAGTACAGGAGATGACTGCTGACCTTTGGGGAGGTGGGGGGAGCGGGTACCTGAATTTGACAGGTACCCGCTTTTACTTCTTTGACCTTACCTGTTCCTCTATCCAGCCGTGCGCTGTCTTCCCGGCTTCTGTAGTGTCAGTGCTCGGCATGACAGCCGGGTGCCCAATGCGCATGAGCGAGAAGCGCTGCGCTTTGTGATTGGTTCGGCGGCTGCTTCTGGGACCTCTCATGTGTTCCAGGTGCCGCCTTACCATTCACAAAGAGCACCGCTTCTTACAGTATATAGCACCCACAATTTACGCAGTGTTTTACATTCAGGATATTCACATCAGTCCCTACCCTTAAGGGGCTTACAATCTAAGGGTCCGATCTCCTTCAGATTTACCAAAGCTATATAATAGGAGGACACAGCATCTATCCAATCACTGTAGAGACACTGGGGTAGCCAGGCAAATGCATGTGGGAGAGATCCTGGGGATGCTGTGAAAAATAATTGATCGGTGAAGGGTGTGTAATAATGAAGTCAGTGCAGGATGTGTGTGCTAATGAGATCAGCTGGTAATCTGCTTCCAGGGTCCTACTGGCTCCTCTGTCCTCTGTCTACATTCCAGGAATTGAAAAGCTTTCTAAGAAATCTACCAAAGGCTAAGGTAAGGCCTTGTTTTACAGATCAAAGAGAGCTTTTATATTTTTCCAACTGAGGTACATTAATGGTATATTAGTATTAATGGTATATAGGGGAGCAGGATTTTATAAAAAAAAAAGTGAACTTAGCCTTTAAGATTTCAAAGAGGGAATGTTCTGTTACACCTGCATGCATTTTTTCCTGTTGTTGTATTGGACTGCATTAACCACTTGATCTCCCAAAGGCTTTACCCCCTTAATGACCCGGGCATTTTTTGCTATTCAGCACTATGCTAATTTAACTGACAATTGCTTGGTCATGCATCAGGGGCTGGAGCTAGACTATTTTGCTCCCTAGGCAAAACCTAGAACCAGCTACTTGTACCCCCCCCCCCCCCAAAAAAAAAAAAAAAAAACAGTCTGTGTGTTATCCGGTGCACCTCTGCTAATAGTCACTGAGCACCCTATGCCTGGAGACACATGCTCCAATGGCTGAGAAAGGAGGGGTAAGGGGTGCGGAGTGGACCAGGGGAACACACAGGGGCAAGGGGCGGCAGGAAGAAGAAGAAGCTGGACAGGAGGGGAGGCATTTACTAGAACTATTCACCTGTATTTTCCTCCTTCAGCGGCTGAATACCAGCGGGAGGGAGAGGAAGAGAAGATGACATTCAGCTACTGCAGGAGCAAAATACAGGTGAATAGTTCTAGTAAATGCTGCCCCACCACCCCTCCCATCCAGGTGTGACAGGGAAGCCGCACTGGCCCCCTGAAGCTACACCTCTGGTCTGGTCTGAATAATGTGTCCAGGTTTCAGGCAGACTGAAACCTGGGCACGTGATTCAAAACCTGAATTGTCTGGGTGAATCCCAGACAGGTCTCCGCAGCTCCTGTGAAAGTAGAAGTCCAGCAGAAGCTGTTAGGGCACACTGGGAGTTCTGGTTCCACAACAGCTGGTGGGTGACAGGTCCACTTTGCAGCTCATAGCTGGTTCCCAGCTTCCACTCATCACATCCAGGGCTCTGGCACTCAAAATCCCCCAGGGCCAGGTCTTCATCAGTACATCTGTCTCTGACATCTTCACACTGGCCCTGAATAGCAGAGTGATGTCTATGTACAGAGCAGAAATATGCCCCCTGGGAGTGAGGCATGGTCATCAGCAGGGGCGGACTGACAACTGATGTGGCCCCCGGGCAATAGGAAATCATGGAGCCCCTGTGTCATCTCCCACACTCAAACCACACCCAAAAAAGCCAATGAAAGGTACCAGGGGCATCTCCTGGGGTCCCATACTGACCCTGGGCCCTTGGGCAGTGCCCGAGTGACTAAATGGTCAGTCCACCCCTGGTCATCAGAGTTCCCAGCCAGCTGCTGCCTGGGAAGAGGAAGGGGGAATGCAGGTCACTGGGGAGAGCAGCACTGGTCAGTGCATGGTAGTGGGACACCTGGGGGACCTCGACGACAGAGACCCCCAAAACTCCTTAGTCCTGACTGAAAAATGTGGCAACCCTAAGTGCAGCAGGGGGAGCAATCACAGGAATGATGCCTTGTATCTGTGTCTCTCCCTGCAGCAGCTTAAATCCGGTGGGAGAGGAGACACAGACACAGGGCATAGTTCCTGTGATTTCTCCCCCCGCCTTGATCCCCCTCCCTTGTTTGCTCACAACTGGATTTCTCTACTGTTCAGGTCCCTGTGTGCTCGGGACCCCTACAGGAGGACCGGTGTTACCCTCCCCTATCGGCAGCCCTGAGAAGCAGCAATCAAGACACTAGCTGGAATCTGATGGAAACTTTGCAGCAAACACTGGTCCTGTTACCTCTGGGACTCCAAGATGGACACCAGGAGCCTGCGTGGTGACAAGGAGAGGAAAAGAAGGAAGAGGTGAGGCAAGGGTCAGCTGGACCCTAGGCAGCAGTGCGCCCTAGGTGGCTACCTAGTTTGCCAAATGGTAGCGCTGGCCCTGCATGCAACACTGTACCCAAATTAAATTTATATATATATATCATCACACAAGTAGAGCTTTCTTTTGATGGCATTTGATCACCACTGTATTTTTTATTATATTTAAAACTTTTTTTTTTAAAAAAAAGAACAGATATTTTTGTACTTTTTAATTTAAAGCATATGCAATAAAACCAAAATTTCTTCATTTATTCTGCTACGTCTTTTTTTCTTTTTTTTTTTTTAATTTTTTAATTATTTTTTACAATTTTATATTTTTTATAATTATACATACAGTATAATTTTACATTTTCATTTAAGAAGGAAAGAAAGAGAGAAAGAAAGAAGGGGGGAGAGAAGACTACCGGTGAGTGTGGGTGGAGCAGACACAGAAGGAGAGCGCGAGAGGAGGAGGGGCAAAACCAGTTTTCCCAGAGAGGAGACACAGGGCATCGTTCCTGTGATTCCTCTCCCCTGCCCTAATCCCCCTCCCTGGCTTGCTCACAACTGGATTTCCCTACTGTTTGGGTCCTTGTGTGCCCGGGATCCCTACAGGAGGATCAGAGCTACCCCCCCATATCAGAAGCCCTGAGCAGTAGCAATCAGGACACTAGTGCGTCCTCCTCCCTCTCCTCTCTCTCCAGCTGGGGAGATTAGCTGGGATTTGATGGAAACTTCGTAGCTAACAATTCTACAGTGCTGTTCCCTCCGGGACTCCAAGATGGACACTGGGTGCCTGGGGAGCGATGAGGAGGAGGAGAAGGAAGAGGTGAGGCACTGGTCAGCTGCGCCCTAGATGGCAGTGCGCCCTAGGCGACTGCCTAGTTCACCTAGTGGTAACGCCAGCCCTACATGCAACATTGTACCCAAATTAAATTTATATATATATATATATATATATATATATTTTTTTTTTTTTTTTTACACTAGACCATCTGTGTTTTAATTATACCCTCCCTGTTGTTTCCATGTTCCCTCAGTCAATAAGAGTTTTTCACAGAGACAGTTTAGGAAAGTCGTTGCCTTCTTAAACTTTAAAAAACTGGAAAAACAACCTCTGAAGTAAAATTGTGTTGGATTCAACTTCTTTGTCTTATTGAAGAATTAAGCTGCTAGTGGATGGAGCTAAGTCAACCGGTGACCATACTGTCTCAACAGACTGGGTCTAAAAAGGTATGTTAATGCATAAAGCTGCATTTGAAACAGAACACTGACTATTTTGTGTTTATAATCTATTACTTTTGCTTTCAAGCCAAGCACCCGTTTGCTTTACATAATGTAGACTAACCCAAGCCAAAACCTTCTCTTGTTATTGTCAGTAAAAAAAAAGAAAAAAAAAGAAAAGGTATGTAATATTTATTATCGCTGGCAATGGAATTTACCCAGTTATTTGCTGAATAGACTAATGCCACAGAAATAAATCCTTTCTATATTTATTCACTTTTCCACAGTGTCACATAAATTAGTATTTTTATAATTTTTAAACCCATAATCCCTTCTGTTCCCGTTCACTGTAAATCAACAACAAATGTCGCTCCGAGCAAAAAACCACATCGCAGCAACACATTGCTGCCATTGAAAATGTATACCATTGATTTGTTCTGTTGGTTGAGCTTTTTAAAAAATTATTATTTTTCAGGGCCCTTGTAAATAAAGGAATGTATTACTAGAAAGTTGTGTTCAGCTGTGAAATTCTTCATATGTTGTAATGAAGCTGCCACTAATGAGAAGGTTTCCAATGTGTGCAAGGTGGACTGTGATATTAACGCAAGCACATTTTCCTGACCTTACAAAGAATGCAAATATTTATACCACGCTTTTACAGATCTATAAGAATCTTGTTGCATGTAGTTGAAAAGCCGACACATTTTGGCAATCACTCCTGTCTATAAACAGAGCTGTAGTTTCTGTTCCTGCTGGCACAGGGTCACCTGACAGTGCTATGTTTGTAAAGCCCCAATGATTTCCTTGAGTAGAGGCACATGCCAAAGACTGTACCAAGGTTATTAATATGCTGCTAAGTACAGAGATTCAGAGTGACCGAACATATCAAAGAAAATCTGTCGCTAGAAAAGTAGCTCTTGGACATAAAACAGTTTACTAATTAGCTCAATTAACATATTTTATTAAAGTCCATTGGTACCCAGATTCATTTACAAATGTAATTTGCGCTGTTGGCGATCTTATAACTTTGCTGGTTATAGCTGCATGCTTTCCTGGGTCATTGTGCCTATTACATTAATATACTGGCATTTTCACTTCTCCACCATCTTGCTAAATATTGGGCTATTTTCCAAGCCAAACTTTTTCTTTTCTGTACAGACCATCCCTTGCTCTTGCTGAAGCTTTCACTCTCATGTTTATTAAATAACTATCCCTTTAAATATGTTGTTCTTAAAGTGGTTGTAAGGGCTTAATGTTTTTACCTGTATGAAAAGGTAAAAAACCTTCTGTGTGCAGCTCCCACTTTAGTCCCCCCAATACTTACTTGAGCCCCCTCTCGATCTAGCAATGTGCATGATAGCCTCAGTTGTCCAGGATCTCTGTTTCCTCATTGGCTGAGACAGCAGCAGGAAATGTATATTATATAGGGCGCTCTTGTTGGAGCCCAACCTCTGTAGCTGTAAGATAAAGGTGCCAGATGGATATCAGGGATGGATGGATGGA